ACACACTACAGTTCATCAGCTTTTCATGTGTTTAATTGCTTAATTCCATATGAAAAGATGATGCACACTTGGGCCAGCAGTTGCCGTAAAGGCAAAGTCACTGGACTCCTATGTAGGCGACTACAGTTCATGTCTCAGATCTGGTGGCTTAAACTCATGCCAGGTGTATGTACATGCATGTCTAAGATCCTGAGAGAAGAATGGAGGAGAAGGGATTGTGGTATGGCCATCCCCCCTGGGGGGTTATTTCTCGCTTTCTGCCTCTCTGTCTCTCTCTGTCTTTCTGGAGAGCACACGTGCCCTATAGCAAAAAAACTCTCAAAAAAAAAGAAAAAAAAAAACCATAAAATGTAATCATTTTTTAAAAAGGTCTTTGCCACAGAGTGTGTGTGCTTGAGACAGAGACAGAGAGACAGTGAGGGGAATATATATTACACATATTAACCCCTAGGGAGATGACCAAGCTGTAATCTCTTTTCCTCTATTCTTCTCCTGAGATTTTGGGCACATACGCACATGCACACAGCAATGAGTATCAAGCTGCTGGGTCTGGGACTCAAACTGCAGTCAGGCATGTGAGAGTCCAGCACCTGAACCATGACATCATCTGCTGGCCTCAGCAATTTTTTAAAAAAATCATTCAGGACCTTGACTATACCAAGAAATATACAGAAAGAATGTAATTGTACTACAGATGTATGAAACAACCAAACTGAATGGAGAGGGAAAAGGGTAAGTTATCTATATAGATTAACTTTAGAATGACTGGAAACTTCAAGATTAAAAGAAAAAAAAAAGAAAACTGCTCATGAGCACTGTACACTAGCTGATAAACATTTACCTGTGGCAGTATTAATTAACAATTTTGATGCTATAATACATAAATGCTGGGATTAAACAATCAAGTAAATGGATAGTGGATGGTGGGAGCCAGGTTCCTCATAGTTGGAGTGAGAATGTATGGATCAACAAGATTTCAGGATAGAAAATCCACATGGAAATGGATTACAGCTAGAGACCTGAATAAGAACTTGTGTTTAGGAAGCCAGACATTGGGGCACTGGTAAAACAGCACTCTGTGAAACCAATTCCCAGGGAAAGGTTACAGATCTGTGCTCGCAGACAACCTTGAATAAGCTGAGCATGAGCATGCCCAGATTTGGAGCAGGCTGAGGACGAGGGTGGCCACTGGTACCAAGACTCTGTTGTGGGGTGTTGTCACTATCCCTCCCTCATCTGTCCCTCTCTCATTTGTGAAAAAATAAACAAACAAACAAAAAACCCCACTAATGTTTAGCTTAATACAGATGTAGATAAATACACATATACATTTCTTCACTCTTAGAAGCAAGGAGGACAACTAATATCTTGGTCTCACATTCTCAGAACATTCTCCAATGAGAGGAACCAGGGCTTCTCAGAGAAATGTCATAATCTAGACCTGGTGCAAGAAATATACAAGATGAGCTTTCAGCATCTTATACTGTATGCTAGAGAGTAGAGAAAGGCTAAAGCAATAAACGCAAGCACAATGAGAGTATCAAAGTGACATTCAAAGCATAAAATAAATATCTATGAGTTCATATTAATTAAAAAATCATTGATTAAATTAATACATAATGGATAATTCCAAATAAATTATGTAGATACTCCACTGTAAAGGAAGGGAAGCACTACTCCCTCCTCCTAAATTATAGACCACACATTGTAATTTCCTTCTAGAGAGAATGTGTGGAGAATGGGCAGGGAGCAGCATTACAGAGAAACATGCCAACATTACTCTAGCCAGGTGATAAGGTCCTCATCATTCCTTTTTTCTTTTTAAGGTTTTTGCCATAGGGTGCATACACTCACTGCAGAGAGACAGAGAAAGTGTGAAATCACTCCCGAGGGGGGATGACCAACCCCAACCCCTTTTTCTCCTCTGTTCTCCTTGGGATCTTCAGCATGCACATACAAACGTCCAGTGCCCTATTCATGCTGCCATGCCCAGGACTCAAACTGTAGTTGAATATATGGTAGTCTAGCACGTTAACCACCAATCCACCTGCTAGCCACCTACTCAACATTCTTTTTTTCTTTTTTTTTTTTGAGAGGTTTTCCCTATAGGACCTGTGTGCTCACCAGAAAGACAGAGAGAGACAGAGAGACAGAAAGCGAGAAATCACCCCCAAGGGGGGATGGCCACGCCACAATCCCTTCTCCTCCTCCATTCTCCTCTCAGAATCTTGGACATGCACGCACACACGCCCAGCGTGAGTTTAAGCCACCGAGTCTGGGACTTGAACCGCGGTCGACTACATGGGAGTCCAGTGACATAGCCATTACACTAACTGCTGGTCCCCTAATCAACATTCTTAATCATATAAAAAGTATGAGCTGTCTTTCAAAAATTTATGGAAAACATGTATTATGAAAAACTATGCATGGACTTCAAAAGAAAATTTCTGTACCAAAATGAACTCATACCTTAAGTCTATTCCCCCCCCAAAAATATTTTAAAGTTCCTTCAAGTAACTGATACAATGTGACAAAACCAGAGGTCTTCTTCCCAGAACCCAATTACATGATTTAATTAGAAGAAAAATATCAGACAATTTCCAATTGAGAGACTTCCTGCATATACCTCAATATCATTTGTCAAATTTTCAAAGTCATCAAAAACAAAGATTGTGTGGCACAGTCAGAAAGCCTAAGACATGACAGCTTCAATGTAAAATGTTATCTTCTATGGCATACTAAGACAGAAAAAGCATAGTCGATGAAAACTAAAAAAAAAATTGTAATAAACTATGGACTTCAATTATAATGTATCAGTATGGTTTTAACAAACACATCAAACTAATGTACGATGCTAATGAGAGAAGAAATTGTGCATATGTGGAGAGTGGTGGTGTGGAGAGAGTTGCATGTGGGATCTCTGCACTATCCATGTAAGTTTTCTGAAATCTAACACTGTCCTAAAAACAAAGTCTGTTGTTTTTTCAAAAAGTAATGTGTGCATTACAACACTGAACCATGACCAGAGACCACTCTGAACACGCCGGACACACGTGTGACCCTACCTAACTAGCTGACTGAAGTGAAGAGTCAATCATGGTGTCAGGACCCAATCGTACGAGCTGTTTTACTCTCTCCCTCTCTCTCTCTCTCTCTCTCAAAATAAATGAGTTAATAGACTTTTAAAAGCTATAATTCTGGTTGATTTTTATTTTCTTTCTTATAATGTTTTGTGTTTTTAAAACAATTTTTAAAATAAGACCATGTAACTTTTTTTTCCTTTTTTTGGAGAGGTTTTTGCTATAGGGCGCGTGTGCTCACCAGAAAGAAAGAGACAGAAAGCGAGAAATTCCCCCCCAGGGGGGATGGCCACGCCGCAATCCCCTCTCCTCCGTTCTCCTCTCGGGATCTTGGGCACACACGCATGCATATACGTGCCTGGCGTGAGTTTAAGACACTGGATCCGGAACGTGAAACACAATCGACTACATGGGAGTCCAGCGACATAGCCATTATGCTAACTGCTGGTCCAGATCATGTAACTTTTAATATCAGAAAAAATAACCCTGCCACATTAAAAGAAAAGTGTCTGGATCTACCTTAAAATTCTAGTTTTATCTCCATGAAAATGGGGAGCAATATAACATAACAAAATATTCAATGTGTTTGAGGACTGAAAAGATTATCCCTAAAATGCCTATAAGAATTGTATAAATTTTAACCAAAATCTATGCTCCTGATATTCATCTTGTAGAAAACCCAGAAATATTTACCTACCACATGACTCTTGAATATATTAATTAATGTACTTTTTGTTTCAAATATATTGTCACCAGTGTCCTGTCTAGAAATGAGTCAGACTCAGTATCACACAATATATGCAGTATATTTGTGATGTAAATATTTTTTGTATATCATTGTCTTTCGGGATTTTTGTTTGTTTTTCATTTCTATCTGACTGAAACTGGAGGCATATTCCTCTATAACTGCAGCATCCATGCTTAGGATGGTTAGGTTAACATGAGAGTTAGTATTCATCTGTAACCTAACCTTTCAATTGTGCATAAGTTTATACAATTTGCATCCATTGATTTATTGGCAGTAATTTTAAGATTAGTTTGTGCACATATCACGGGTAGGCTGTTAGCAACTATTAAAGAAATTCAGAAATTGAAATCTTACTGGAAAGACTTTCTATAAGTTGAACAAATGGGAACTTAATTATTTTTAACAGAGTTGGAGAATCACTAATTTTTCAATATCCAATATGCCAAACCATATTAATTTTAGGATATATCAGAAATAGATCACTCTGACTATCAAAATAAGATGAATAATGTATAAGGGGTACAAAACCTAATGAAATTCTTAAATGATCATTTTAGGGAAAAAAAGTGATAAGAGATGAACAAATTAGATTACAGACTTTTGGTAAGTAGGTGACTATTCTGGGTTCTGCTGCCACATTCCTTTTCTTAAAATTATTGATTTAATTTTATTTATTCATTAATTTATTTTAATTTGACCAGAGAGAGAGGGAAAGTGAAAAAGCAAGCCACCAGGTTCAGGGCTTGAACAATGGTTGACCATGTAGGCGTCCAGATCCTTAACCCCCATGCCACCTGCCAGCCCCTCTGCTGCCACATTCTATTCTTGAAGTTTTAAGTTTTACTTAACCACAAGTTGCACATGTGTGAAAATAAAAAAGATAATCATAATATAAATGAATGACTTTAAAAATAGGGTAGAAATGTTTAGTGTTTCTGAAAAAAAAAAAAACAAAGAATTACTATCCATCATCCCAGCATTGTTTCTTTCTGGTTGTTAGAAAAGTCATGATGCACTTTTGCATTGAAAAACATGAAATACTACACCATGACTTTTCCAATGACCCAACATTTTGTTCAATTTAACTTTGAGTCTACATCAAGAAATAAAACTACACATTAAAACCAAACTATTTAAACAAGGGGACAGCAACAATTTTTTCTGGTCTTTACCTTCTGGCTCATTTTTGATGAGCTCCTCCATTTTCCTCTGCTTCAAGGTGTCAACAACATCAGCCAAGCTGCCTTTGCGCCTTTCAGGAGTGCCCAGGGCAGTACTAGACAAGGACTCGCCACTCTGTCGCCCACCTTCTTCTGCCTTCTGAGGTGAGGTAGATGAGTTGTGTGGGGCAAATGAAGACATAACTTTATTGCCATCAACTTCCTAAAAAACAAAGCAAAGGAAATTTTTGCTTAACGTACAGTAACTGTAAGAGAAGTTGCTCTGCAAATGCAGTAAGAAATTTCAAAAATGAATACATTAATTTTACAGGCTAGCATTAGCGTAAGTCAACCATCAATTCACAGGAGAAATAAAAAATGGGAATTTTCTCCTTTAAACTGAGTACAAATAGTAATACATACTTACAGGAATGATAATTAGACTCATTCTAGGCATATGACATTTATTTTACTGCTTCTTCTTTTGAACATTAATGTAGAAATCACCCAGGTTAAATTTTTTCATGGTGTTGTAATATTTAACAAATTATATTATGTGTACTTCATTTTCAGTAGCTGTGTCTTTTTAACAGTACTCCTAATTAAAATAGGGTTCTCTACCACTCTTTCATGCTTATTTATTTATTTATTTATTTATTTATTTATTTATTTATTGAGACACTTTTGTCTTAGCATGTGTGTGCTTGCTTGAGAGAGAGAAAGAGTTAGTAAGAAGGAAAGTGAGAAATCACCCCCCGGAGATGGCCATGCCACAATCCCTTCTCCTCCATTCACCTCCCAGGATCTTGGGCATGTATACACATGCACCTGGCATGATTTTGAAGCCACTGTATCCAAGACTGGAATGGCCATGTGGGGAACCAGCAACTTAACCGCTATACCATCTGCTGGTGCCTCCCTCACATGCTTTTAATGTAGAAATCAGCCAGGTTAAATTTTAAGAAAGCATCAATCACAGAGATGTTTTTAACCCCAAATATATTGCAATTTCTGTTCTGCTTATGGTGAAAATATTCCCAATCTTGATTTTTTTTAAAAATTCATGATAGAGGGACCAGCAGTTGGCATAATGGCTATATCACTGGAATCCCCACATAGTCGACCACAGTTCAAGTCCCAGACCTGGTGGCTTAAACTCACACTGGGCACATGCGTGTGCATGCCCAAGATTCTGAGAGGATAACGGAGGAGAAGGGATTGTGGCATGGCCATTCGCCCTGGAGGGTGATTTCTTGCTCTCTGTCTCTCTGTCTCTGTCTTTCTGGTGAGCACACGTGCCCTATAGCAGAAACCTATCCAAAAAATAAAAAAATAAAAAATAATTCACGATAAAGAGCCCATGCCTGTAAAAAGATGCACACAGACAAGATCTCGTGACACTGAGGTGCTTTTCCCTCAGTCCTCCAACTTCTTAGACTCTTGAGTCTAAGCATGTTCCAGACCAACAGAACCAGGGATTCTAACTCGAGCATGTGGCTTTCAGCGCTGCCATTTTTTTCTCCTACTGTAGCAGCAGGCTCAGTCAGTGATCTCGTTTGTTACCTAAAGCAAGGCTTCTGTCAATAATCTACTTTGCACATTAGGCCTCATTTTCTATGTAAAGGTTTTTGAAGTTTTTGCTTCTTCATGGTATGTGTGCATGAATGAAAAAAAAAATTCTATAATTATACAACTTAATTTTGTATTCTATTATCATTTCTCTCACAACTTCTAGCATAGCTTTGGCAATCTGTATGATATCTGAAGTACATTTTACATAAAAGATACTAAATTTATTTCTCATATATTTTCACGGGGAGCAAGTGATATGAAATGATGAACTATTAATTTTCATATTTAAAGGTTTTCTTTCAACATCTCTTACTTCCATAATCTTTCAACTTTCCACAAAACTGAAAACTCTTCTTGAAAATAATTGATATTCAGTATAATGGATTATCTATTTACACATTTCTTCTCTACCTATCTAAGATATGTTAATAAGCATCTGCTGACTCCAGAAAAGTGACAAATTCACATTGATATCTAATTTTTAAAGGTTAATACTAATATTTGTACTATGTTAAAAATACAATAAAATGGGACTAGTAGTTGGCGTAATGGCTATGTCACTGGACTCCCATGTAGGCGACCATGCTTCAAGTCCCAAACCCAGCGGGTTAAACTCACACTGGGTGCGTGTACGTGTGTGCTCAAGATCCCAAGAGGCAAATGGAGAAAAAGGGATTATGGTGTGGCCATCCCCCTGGGGGGGTGATTTCTCGCTCTCTTGCTTTCTGTCTCTCTGTATGTCTCTGTCTTTCTGGCGAGCGCACATACCCTATTGCAAAAACTTCTCCAAAAAAGAGAAAAGAAAAAATATATATACTAAAATGAGACCAGCAGTTGGTGTAATTGCAATGTTGCTGGACTCCCATGTAGTTTACCACGTCTCGAGTTCAGACCCAGAGGCTTAAACCTCACACCAGGCACCTGTGCATGCATGCCCAAGATCCTGAGAGGAGAATGGAGAAGGGATTGTGGCATGGCTATCCGCCCTGGGAGGTGATTTCTCGCTTTCTGCTTCCTTGTCTCTCTCTGTCTTTCTGGGAAGCGCACATGCCCTATAGCAAAAACCTCCCCCCCCCCAAAAAAAAAGAAAAAAATATATATATACACTAAATTATCAGAAATAATATAGCAGATTAATTTTAAAATGTCATTATAATTTCTAAATGTAGATTTAAAATAGAGATGTCAATACAATCTGGTAATATGATTTTTTGTTGGTATATATGTAGCAGTAAGTACAGGGACATTAACTATGGTACTAACATGAGTTTGTTGGATAGGGCTGAGTAATATGGGAAAAGCAAAAGGTAAAATATGTACACTACCAGACTCTTCTAAATTATAATTCTAAATCCTTGATGATTTCCATTTCTTATAAACATTACTGTGCTAGTCTCTGACTAGCACTAAGCCTTGACTGATACAATATAGACAATTTAGTTTATTATGTACTTGGATTTAGAAATTAATGTGAATAATGTCATAACTACGGAGCCCTGTACATGACTGAAGGTACACTTCTAAAATTATTTATTCAAAACCTATCCACCCAATAATCCACACACATATCAAAAAAGAGCAATGAAATTCATTTGGAAAAGTAATAGGAATGTTTTTAAAAATGGCACATAGCACACAATATCTTAGTTTCATGTGCAATCTAGAATACATCAAGACCTCTGTATTCATTTTCCATGGAAGATCTTGTCATTTCTTTCTGAGGCCAGAAGCAGGAACACCTCAATGTTAGCTTCACTTTCAACATTTTTTTTTTCCCAGAGATTTTTACTATAGGGTATATGTGCTCGCCAGAGAGACAGAGAGAAACAGAGAGACAGAAAGCAAGAAATCACCCACGCAGGGAGGATGGCCACGCTGCAATCCCTTCTCCTCCATTCTCGGCTCAGATACTGGGCATGCACATATACATGCCTGGTGTATTTTAAGCCACCAGGCAGGTCTGGGACGTGAACTGCAGTGGATTACGTGGGAGTCCAGCAATGTAACCATTATGCCATCTGCTGGTCCCCACTACGAACATTTCTATTCATGCTCTGCTTTCACATTATATGATGGCAAATTTTAGGAACAAGGATTCGGCAGCTAACCTTCATTTGCCATAATTAAAAATTACACACACCTTTTTACGGCATGGGAATGACACAAAAATTTCTATTCAATTATATCTATTAAAATATCAGAAAATATTTCCAAATAAATATCTATGTTGTGTGTCTCTAATTGTCCACACTTTGCAAAGAGGAAAGATGGTATTTTAAAGAGTTTAACATATATATATTTTTTTTTGGAGAGGTTTTTGCTATATGGCGCGTGCACTCGCCAGACAGACAGAGACAGAGAGACAGAAAGCGAAAAATCACCCCCCAAGGGGGATGGCCATGCCGCAATCCCCTCTCCTCCATTCTCCTCTCGGGATCTTGGGCACGCATGCACACGTGCCTGGTGGTAGTTTTAAGCCACCAGGTTCAGGACGCGAACCGCGGTTGACTACATGGGAGTCCAGCGACATAGCCATTACGCTAACTGCTGGTCCCTAAAGAGTATTACATATTTCACAATCAATCTGAACTTAGTAGCCACAGCAGTATAAAAATAAATTAATTAACTAAACATTGTTGCTATTTCATGCGAAGAGTATTTATCTTATCACTATTTCATTTTCACCTATCTGATTGCTTTTCAGCCTTTGGCACTGTTAATCCCAATCATAGTTTTATGTAGTTAACAGCTATTTTAGTGTCAGACTCATTGTTCATCGTCATGGTGAATAACTTGTTAAGGAGAGCTGGCAGACTTCAGTCAAGAATGGTCTATCATTTTCAGAACTCATTCCCTGGGGTTGTATCTTCCATACTTGAAATAATGACTGCATGTTTTTCTTCACTTTCCTGGTAGGTAAAATCCAGAGAATCAACCAATAAAGACCCAAGTGGTCCAACCCAGCACTATGTATTTAAATCAGCTTTCATGAACTCTGAAGATGAGTTCAGTATTTTGCAGATAAGCTACAAAAACTGCAATATATGACTTATGAAGTCTAAGATAAAAGAGGGTTCTAGGGACTAGCAGTTAGCTTAATGGCTATGTCACTGGACTCCTACGTAGTCTACTGCAGCTCGCGTCCCAGACCCGGTGGCTTAAAACTCACGCCGGGCGCATGTGCCTGTGTGCCTAAGATCCCAAGAGGAAGAATGGAGGAGAAGGGATTGCAGCGTGGCCATCTCCCCTGAGGGGATTTCTTGCTTTCTGTCTCTCTGTCTCTCTCTGTCTGTCTGGCGAGCGCACGCGCCATACAGTGAAAAAACTCTCAAAAAAAAAAAAGAGGGTCTAAACTTTAATAATATTAATCTTTGTTATTCTTGAACATGCTTTACTAATTCTGACCCCTTTATCACCTACAGAATCAAGAGCAGAAGGGTCTGCCTAATGTATCCATCCTCACTGAAACAGGTTGTTCTCACATGCATTTTTGTTCCTTCATTCTAAACACAGCACTTTGCTCTGAACATTCAGAGAGAAATAGTATTGCAACGTTAGGTTTAAATTTTAATTTAGGTAATGTGATGATTAAGAAGAATTAGCTCATTGGGACCAGCTGTTAGCGTAAAGGCTATGTCGCTGGACTCCCAT